GAGGTGCTACTCGCTAACAGCACTTGCCCCTACAGCCTGGTGAAGACTATAGAGGGTATATTTGTCTTTGTGTATCCACGTATCCCCTCCGTGTGTCCGTGTGTCCATGTGTATACGTGTATGCGTGCGCCCATGTGTATGCGTGTGTCCATGTGTATACGTGTCCATGTGTATACGTGTGTCCACGTGTGTCCATGTGTATACATGTGTCCATGTGTGTCTATGTGTCCACGTGTGTCCATGTGTATACATGTGTATGTCCATGTGTATACGTGTGTCCATGTGTATGCGTGTGTCCATGTGTATACGTGTGTCCATGTGTGTCCATGTGTGTCCACGTGTGTCCATGTGTATGTCCATGTGTATACGTGTGTCCATGTGTATACGTGTGTCCATGTGTATACGCGTGTCCACGTATGTCCATGTGTATACGTGTGTCCATGTGTATACGTGTGTCCACGTATGTCCATGTGTATGCGTGTGTCCATGTGTATGCGTGTGCCCATGTGTGTCCGTGTGTGTCCTTGTGTATACGTGTGTCCATGTGTATGCGTGTGTCCATGTGTATGCGTGTGCCCATGTGTATGTGTCCATGTGTATACGTGTGTCCATGTGTGTCCATGTGTATACGTGTCCATGTGTATACGTGTCCATGTGTCCGTGTGTCTGTGTCCATGTGTATACGTGTCCATGTGTAACCATGTGTACGTGTGTCCATGTGTGTCCACGTGTGTCCATGTGTCCATGTGTATACGTGTGCCCATGTGTGTCCATGTGTATACGTGTGTCCATGTGTATACGTGTGTCCATGTGTATACGTGTGTCTGTGTCCATGTGTATACGTGTGTCCATGTGTATACGTGTGTCCATGTGTATACGTGTGTCTGTGTCCATGTGTATGCGTGTGTCCATGTGTATGCGTGTGCCCATGTGTGTCCATGTGTATACGTGTGTCCATGTGTGTCCATGTGTGTCTGTGTCCATGTGTATACGTGTCCATGTGTATACGTGTGTCCATGTGTATACGTGTGCCCATGTGTACGCGTGTGTCCATGTGTATACGTGTGCCCATGTGTATACGTGTGTCCATGTGTATACGTGTCCATGTGTATACGTGTGTCCATGTGTATACGTGTGTCCATGTGTATACGTGTCCATGTGTATACGTGTGTCCATGTGTATACGTGTGTCCATGTGTATGCGTGTGCCCATGTGTATGTGTCCATGTGTATACGTGTGTCCATGTGTATACGTGTGTCCATGTGTGTCCATGTGTATGCGTGTGTCCATGTGTATACGTGTGCCCATGTGTATGTGTCCATGTGTGTCCATGTGTATGCGTGTGTCCATGTGTATACGTGTGCCCATGTGTATGCGTGTGTCCATGTGTATAGGTGTGTCCATGTGTATGCGTGTGTCCATGTGTATAGGTGTGTCCATGTGTATGCGTGTGTCCATGTGTATAGGTGTGTCCATGTGTATGCGTGTGTCCATGTGTATAGGTGTGTCCATGTGTATAGGTGTGTCCATGTGTATAGGTGTGTCCATGTGTATAGGTGTGTCCATGTGTATACGTGTGCCCATGTGTATGTGTCCATGTGTGTCCATGTGTATGCGTGTGTCCATGTGTATACGTGTGCCCATGTGTATGCGTGTGTCCATGTGTATAGGTGTGTCCATGTGTATGCGTGTGTCCATGTGTGTCCATGTGTATAGGTGTGTCCATGTGTATAGGTGTGTCCATGTGTATACATGTGTCCTTGTGTCCATGTGTGTCCATGTGTATACGTGTCCATGTGTGTCCATGTGTATACGTGTCCATGTGTGTCCATGTGTGTCCATGTGCGTCTCCTCGTCTCTTCCACCATCTCCCCCCTGGTGGCCCCACGCCTCTTCTCACAGGAACGACGCGAGACTTGGTAACTGCAATCATATTTACTTTTAAACTCCGTTCCAACTATGACAATGACGTTTAACACGCAGTAGCAGGCTTTCGCGATCAATATCATCCATAACGCAGGTTGCTTCGTGGGTTAGATCGCGTAAATCTATAAATGTGTCGTTAACCCCGCCACCACCCGACACAGCCAATCGGTAAGGGTTGTGTCACGTGAACAGAACGTTGCCAACTCGTCACGAGCACAGCACCGCCGGTTGTGTTTGGAGAGCCAAGCCGCGACATTCACAATCCGAGTGTACGACGTTTCGCCAGTGATTACAAGCAGCTTCATCAGGCGACAGCAGCTAGACCTGTGGCTGTAACGACACGTGGATACACTGACGCGATCTCACCACCACCACCCACCCGCACGCCGGGAGAGGGACTCGGGCAGAGCGCCACGCGGGTTTGGCTCCGCGCAGTGGCCGTGGAAGTGGCCCGGCACGGGAGGCGTGAGCCGGGCACCGCCGCTGTGCCCAAGGTTGGCGAATACGCAGCGTCTGAACAATGTCGAGCGTTATATATTGTTCACTTGAAGTTTAGTTTGCCCGTCGTCTGCGTCGTTGGCCGAGGCAATGGACCAACGTCGCGCGTCACCACCGCAGCCCAAGAAAATCTCAAATCCACTCCCCTCTGAGGACCCGCGGGGCGTGGGATAACAGAGCCACCACCATCATCACCACCACCACCATCATCATCACCACCACCACCATCATCATCATCACCACCACCACCATCATCATCACCACCATCATCATCATCACCACAAGCCCAGTGGATGCGATTCTATTTGACATCTCGCACCCGTTGCTTTCGACTGCCGCGCCGGGAGGTTGGAATCGAACCTAGCAAGTTGCAAACGGCGCAGCGTTGACAAGTCAGCGGGGGGCGACCTGCGGCTACGGAGCCCCCCGGGGCGGCACTTGCTGAGGACAGCTGCTTCGTGACGTAGTTCATGAATAGACCCACCACCACCACTACACACACACCACTACCACTACACACACACCACCAGCACCACACACACACGCACCACACACACATCACACATGCACCACCACCACCACTACACACACACACCACCACCACTACACACACACACCACCACCACTACACACACACACCAGCACCACACACACACACACCAGCACCACACACACACACACCAGCACCACACACACACACACACACACACCAGCACCACACACACACACACACACCAGCACCACACACACACACACACCAGCACCACACACACACACACACCAGCACCACACACACACACACACCAGCACCACACACACACACACACCAGCACCACACACACACACACACCAGCACCACACACACACACACCAGCACCACACACACACACACCAGCACCACACACACACACACCAGCACCACACACACACACACCAGCACCACACACACACACACCAGCACCACACACACACACACACCAGCACCACACACACACACACACCAGCACCACACACACACACACACCAGCACCACACACACACACACACCAGCACCACACACACACACACACCAGCACCACACACACACACACACACACCAGCACCACACACACCAGCACCACACACACCAGCACCACACACACCAGCACCACACACACCAGCACCACACACACCAGCACCACACACACCAGCACCACACACACCAGCACCACACACACCAGCACCACACACACACACACCAGCACCACACACACACACACCAGCACCACACACACACACACCAGCACCACACACACACACACCAGCACCACACACACACACACCAGCACCACACACACACACACCAGCACCACACACACACACACCAGCACCACACACACACACACCAGCACCACACACACACACACCAGCACCACACACACACACACACCAGCACCACACACACACACACACCAGCACCACACACACACACACACCAGCACCACACACACACACACACCAGCACCACACACACACACACACCAGCACCACACACACACACACCAGCACCACACACACACACACCAGCACCACACACACACACACCAGCACCACACACACACACACACCAGCACCACACACACACACACACCAGCACCACACACACACACACACCAGCACCACACACACACACACACCAGCACCACACACACACACACCAGCACCACACACACACACACCAGCACCACACACACACCAGCACCACACACACACCAGCACCACACACACACCAGCACCACACACACACCAGCACCACACACACACACACCAGCACCACACACCAGCACCACACACACACACCAGTACCACACACACACACCCCAGCACCACACACACACACACCAGCACCACACACACCAGAACCACACACACCACCACTACCACACACCAGTTGATGTGACGCTTAGGACTACATCGCATCCGTGTAATGTTCAGGTTACGTGTGCGTTAAGGTGGTGCTTGTTCAGGTTGTGTGCGTGTGTGTTCAGGTTGTGCATGTTCATGTTATGTGTTCAGGTTGTGTGTGTTGGGGTTGTGTGTTTATGTTGTGTGTGTGTTCAGGTTGTGTGTGTTGGGGTTGTGTGTTGGGGTTGTATGTGTGTGTGTTGGGGTTGTGTGTGTGTGTTGGGGTTGTGTGTTCAGGTTGTGTTCGTGTTCGGGTTGTGTGTTTGTCATTAATGCTCATCTCCATTCCGCCTCTCCGTCACTCTCATCGTCGAAGGTTCACCAGGTACACCCCCAGTGAAGGTTCACCAGGCACACCTCCAGTGAAGGTTCACCAGGTACACCCCCAGTGAAGGTTCACCAGGTACACCTCCAGTGAAGGTTCACCAGGCGCGCCTCCAGTGAAGGTTCACCAGGCACACCCCCAGTGAAGGTTCACCATGTACACCTCCAGTGAAGGTTCACCATGTACACCTCCAGCGAAGGTTCACCAGGTACACCTCCAGTGAAGGTTCACCAGGCGCACCTCCAGTGAAGGTTCACCAGGTGCACCTCCAGTGAAGGTTCACCAGGTGCACCTCCAGTGAAGGTTCACCAGGTGCACCTCCAGTGAAGGTTCACCAGGCACACCTCCAGCGAAGGTTCACCAGGTGCACCTCCAGTGAAGGTTCACCAGGTACACCTCCAGTGAAGGTTCACCAGGTGCACCTCCAGCGAAGGTTCACCAGGTTCACCCCCAGCGAAAGTTCACCAGGTACACCTCCAGTGAAGGTTCACCAGGTGCACCTCCAGCGAAGGTTCACCAGGTACACCTCCAGTGAAGGTTCACCAGGCACACCTCCAGCGAAGGTTCACCAGGTACACCTCCAGTGAAGGTTCACCAGGTGCACCTCCAGCGAAGGTTCACCAGGTTCACCCCCAGCGAAAGTTCACCAGGTACACCTCCAGTGAAGGTTCACCAGGTGCACCTCCAGCGAAGGTTCACCAGGTACACCTCCAGTGAAGGTTCACCAGGCACACCTCCAGCGAAGGTTCACCAGGTGCACCTCCAGTGAAGGTTCACCAGGTGCACCTCCAGTGAAGGTTCACCAGGTGCACCTCCAGCGAAGGTTCACCAGGTTCACCCCCAGCGAAAGTTCACCAGGTACACCTCCAGTGAAGGTTCACCAGGTACACCTCCAGCGAAGGTTCACCAGGCACACCCCCAATGAAGGTTCACCATGTACACCCCCAGTGAAGGTTCACCAGGTGCACCTCCAGTGAAGGTTCACCAGGTGCACCTCCAGTGAAGGTTCACCAGGTGCACCTCCAGTGAAGGTTCACCGGGTACACCTCCAGTGAAGGTTCACCCGGCGAACCTCCAGTGAAGGTTCACCCGGCGCACCTCCAGTGAAGGTTCACCAGGCATACCCCCAGCGAAAGTTCACCAGGTACACCTCCAGTGAAGGTTCACCAGGTGCACCTCCAGTGAAGGTTCACCATGTACACCTCCAGCGAAGGTTCACCAGGTACACCTCCAGTGAAGGTTCACCAGGTGCACCTCCAGTGAAGGTTCACCAGGCGCACCTCCAGTGAAGGTTCACCAGGCACACCTCCAGCGAAGGTTCACCAGGTGCACCTCCAGTGAAGGTTCACCAGGTACACCTCCAGTGAAGGTTCACCAGGTGCACCTCCAGTGAAGGTTCACCAGGTGCACCTCCAGCGAAGGTTCACCAGGTTCACCCCCAGCGAAAGTTCACCAGGTACACCTCCAGTGAAGGTTCACCAGGTGCACCTCCAGCGAAGGTTCACCAGGTACACCTCCAGCGAAGGTTCACCAGGTACACCTCCAGTGAAGGTTCACCAGGTGCACCTCCAGCGAAAGTTCACCAGGTACACCTCCAGTGAAGGTTCACCAGGTACACCTCCAGCGAAGGTTCACCAGGCACACCCCCAATGAAGGTTCACCATGTACACCCCCAGTGAAGGTTCACCAGGTGCACCTCCAGTGAAGGTTCACCAGGTGCACCTCCTGTGAAGGTTCACCAGGTGCACCTCCAGTGAAGGTTCACCAGGTGCACCTCCAGTGAAGGTTCACCAGGTACACCTCCAGTGAAGGTTCACCCGGCGCACCTCCAGTGAAGGTTCACCCGGCGCACCTCCAGTGAAGGTTCACCCGGCGCACCTCCAGTGAAGGTTCACCAGGCACACCTCCAGTGAAGGTTCACCAGGTGCACCTCCAGTGAAGGTTCACCAGGCGCACCTCCAGTGAAGGTTCACCCGGCGCACCTCCAGTGAAGGTTCACCCGGCGCACCTCCAGTGAAGGTTCACCAGGTGCACCTCCAGTGAAGGTTCACCAGGAGCACCCCCAGCGAAGGTTCACCAGGTGCCCCTCCAGTGAAGGTTCACCAGGTACACCTCCAGTGAAGGTTCACCAGGTACACCCCCAGTGAAGGTTCACCAGGTGCACCTCCAGTGAAGGTTCACCCGGCGCACCTCCAGTGAAGGTTCACCAGGTGCACCCCCCAGTGAAGGTTCACCAGGTACACCCCCAGTGAAGGTTCACCCGTGACCCCTAAACGTTGCCCACCCACACACACAGAGCCAAGGGCTCTCAACCCCCGAGATGGGAAGCTGTAAGAACGCAGGAGACGAGTCGATGCATAGTCAGTTTAACGCAGCAGCAGCAGTTGTAGCAGCGGAGAGGCTTTCGCGACCGACATTATCCAGATGTGTCGTCGAACCCGCCACCACCCGACGCAGCCAATTCAGCAAGGGTTTGTCACGTAAACAAAACGTTCCAATGAGTTACCAGTCTCAGCACGCACGGTTGTGTTGGAGAGTAAAAACATTTTGAATTCGAGTAGCTGCGACGTTTCGCCGGTAATTCCAACAACTGGCCTCATCGGGCGACAGCCAGAATTGAGGAAAATTCCACCGGTTCCGGACTTATGCATAGTTGAGAGTTTATAAATCTCTGCCGAACGGTCACTTGGCGAGTCATGACCACCCCTAGCTTGGCGACGAGTTAAAAGCGAAACCGATCCTTGGAGTTCCGGCCAAACATCACCTGGGGTTCGCACCGACCCCCACGCACGCAGCGGCATCAGCGGCTTGACGCGGCCACGCCGACGACTCCCAGCAAGGTGGAGCTACCGCAGGCGTCATCGAAGCGAACGTCACGGAAGGAAGAGGGGGGGAGGGAGGGGGAGTGCCACCACCCCCCCCCCGCCCCAGGTGGCCAAAGCTACGAGTTGGAGAGAGCCTCCCTTGACAGCCGCCATCCGATGATGAGATATTTTCAAGAACGACGAGAACAAAAAGAACCAAAAACCCATTTAAACCGGAGCCGCCCCCAGACGCCGTTAAACGTCATAGAGACCAAAATGGGACCCCTCTTTCCCCTAGAGACTGGGTCTTAACGAAGGCTGCTGCCGTCTGGTTTAGGCCAGTCTCAAAGACAATACATCACACAGTATCAGAGCCACACGTTTGTTTGCACGTTCACCACAAGCACTGCGTGTGGTTAATGCAGAAACTTGATTCCCTGTAAAAAGTTACTATTTGGTGTTTGAACTTTCTGTTTTATTGCCAGACAGAGTAAAACCTAGTATTATTTTTCATAATTTGATACTGGCAAAAAAAAGGCACCCCATGATGAAGCTGCTCAACCCCGAGGTATAAACGCTCTGACACGTGTGTGGCGTTGTCTCTGTGCTGTTCGCCTTGTGGCGTTGTTCTCTGGTCTGACAATGGTGGTGAGGCTAGGCCATGAAGAAGGCCAATCAGTCTCAAAGACAACGCATCACACATTAGTATCAGAGCCGCACGTTTGTGTCCGCACGTTCACCACAAGCACTGCGTGTGGTTAATGCAGAAACTCGATTCCTCGCAAAAGTTTACTATTTGGCGCTTGAACATCTTCGCACAACTCGTGTTTTACGTCGTACGTTGGAGAGCCCGCTAGCGTGACCACGGATGGCGGTTGAGGCAAGGGGAGGGCCTCGAGGTGTGACCGTGCGAGAAAACAAATCTAATGGTGGGGGCCCACCCAACCGATTACCGCACCCCCGCAGGTGATGATAATAATAATATAATGTCATGACCACGCGCCGCTGGGTACAGCCGCTTACAACCGCACCGAGATAACACACGCGGGGGGGGGGGAGATCCTTAACATAATCGTTTGTTATTCCTATGCACTATATGTAGTACTCTGCCTCTAATAACACTATGTTGCACGATAACATACATGAACAGGGATTTGATGACAAGAGGAACGATAATGGAAAGCGTAACAAGTTTAATATTCATAATTCTGAGCCTTCCTTCCACTCTCGTAAAAGCCTCGCCATTAATCTGCCGGGCACAGCAATCGCCGCCAATCGGCGCCACTTCCCATTCACGACGCAGCAACAACAACAAAAACCGCGGATTTCGATTTCGAGAGCTGTGGGCGTGCAACGGCTGCCATTTGTGATTCGAAACTTGGTTCGGAGGTTTTTTTTCCCTTCCTTCCTCCCCGCGGCCCCAAGATTCCGATTCATCGTCCGACGTTTCAAGCCGCGGGCGATCAAGGCCACCGGGCGTAACGATCCGAACAAATCTGCGCGTCGTCGTCGTCAACCCTCCGACCGCCCGACACGGAAGAAGACGAAACGAGACTGTCGTGCGTGGCGCACGGTCCCCTCCCGTCGTAGCGGATCAACTCGACACCGATGGCGGCGGCGGCGGCGGTGGTGGGTGCGACAGAGATTCAGCGGCGGTGAGCTCGCGCGACGATTCTCTTCGGGGGAGGGGGCCGCGCCGAGCGTCTTCACGTCACGAATTCGGCGACTATTGCGATCGTGGCGTCCTGGATCTCGCCCCGAAGGCGCTCGACACGGTCGCAGGCGAATCGTCGATCTGGCCGCGGGAGTCGCTCCCGAACTTAACCCTCCGGCAACGAGCGGAGGGTTCTGAACGACGCAAAATTTGCGTTGGGCGGCCCGCCAACCCCAATTTCACAACGAATCCCGCGTCCGTCGCCTGCTACCGCCTTGTCCGCATCCGACGTATTAGTTGCACGGGCGAGCCGCTCTCGAAATCCACGCCGCTTCTTAAATCGACGGCCGGCCGGCCGCCGCGCGGACGTCCCCGGTCGCAGAGGGCAGGTTGCGTGGAACGCCCACACGTGGGGGAGCGACGCAAGTTGCACGCAACCGCCTGTGGGGAACGACCGCCACGACCAATCGCAGTCCGTCGCACGCCAACAGAACCGCGCGGCGCACGCCCCACCACCACCACCGCGCCCCCCACGGACCCGCGAGCAACGTGCCAATCGCGACGAGGAGTAACGGGCGGCGAAGACCGTAACGGTAAACGGCGGCAATGGTAACGAGAAGAATAAAAATGATTAACAAAAACAACTTTTAATTGGCCCTTCACGACGGTCGTGGATATTTGCGTGTGGCCAAGCGTGGTCATATGCAGGCACCTTGTGAGATTCACGCACACACACACGCACACACACACACACGTGCACACGCGCACGCACGGACACTGCGAGTGTGCGTGCATTAGGGATGAGTTTAGGATTTAAAGATTTCGGGCGAGCGACTATTTTTTTAAATATAATTTCTGTTCGCGTAACGTTGCTCCGACTATTTATGTGGTCACGTGACGCTGGTTTTTATGCGAGACAAATTTACCGTCCCCGACGATTCGTTATTGTATGTATCTCTCTATCTCGAGAGAGAGACCAGCTCGACCAAGCGTTAGACGTGAATGTGCAATTTGATTGAGGGACTACTGCTGTGTGTTATGTTGGTGTGGTGTGGGGCCATTTGTTGTTAATTTAACACGCAGTCTTGTTGTTGTTGCCCAGGCTCGATAAATCGAACTTATTGGATGGATGTAATAATCAATGCTTTATATATTGTGACGTCATTACCCATTCCTCGATTTAGCGCTCCCCTGTCAAGTCTTTGCTATCGTTTGTTGTCTTAAGCGATTTGTTTACCTTGCCATCAACTTGCACTTCTATCGTGCTGTTGAATTATTCGTTGTTGTAACGTTCTCATCCCGTGGCCCCACACTTGACATAATGCGAAAAAGAGCTTCATAGCTCATCGGATTTCCACCTCCTGCAGTGTAAATAAACATTCTGATTTTGATTCCGATCAATCGACTCGCCGCCGCCAGAGTATTGACCATCCAGATCCCGTCATTCGCAGTAGCGCCAAGGGTTCCAAAATTAGCCGAAATCCTGCGGAAGTTTTACTTAAATCGGGGGTTGATGCCACGGAGCCTCCATCGCCCTCCCAACCCCCCCCCCCCCCCACTGCGATGCTCTCACTTGGTAAATAAAAATTATAACAAAATGTTTTTAGTTTAACCAGGTAGGGCCGCGCTGAGCTATGTAGCTCTTCTTTATAAGCGACCTGGCTATCATAAATCATCGTGTGATAAGCCGCTCAAATCAAGCAACTTACCATCATCGTGTGGAAATGTATAGCAGTGGCCACACACTCTAAAACGTGTGATGTTGACTCTAAACGTGGAGGGGAAGAACCGGAGGACTCGGGAGTAAAAATCCACGCGACCACGTGGAGAAAGAAAGTGAGACACGCAAACTCCAGATACAGAGCAGGTGCCAGGGTCAGGATCGAACCCACGACATCCTACTACATACCAGGCGGAGGAGTTAACGTCTCGCCGACTAGACGACCGTAATAACAACAACATCCCTAGCGTGAGCGTGAGCGCGCGTCAGGAAGAGAAAGAGAGGAGAGACAGAGAGCGAGGGCAGAGAGAGGGGAGAGAAACAGAGAGAGAGAAACAGAGAGAGAGGAGAGAGACAGAGACGAGAGAGAGATGCTCATTTGAGAGGTCGGGCGACCGCCATGTAGGCAATTTCGATCTCCTTGTCGGCAGGACAGGTGTTGGCAAACTCTTCGCGGGCGTACGCGCTGTCCAGGTATCGCCAGTAGCCTGTGAGCTCCCGCGGGATCGAGAAGCCGCGGTACTTCTTGCACACGACCTGCCGGGACGGAGAGACGGACGCGGAGCGAGAATGTTAGCGTCAGTCACGCAACGCTTACATACTTGCTGACGAAACTTAAAAACGATAAACGGTTTTTCTTATTTTTTACCACGTAAGGCCCACCGAGCTATATAGCTCTTTTTCCTAAGCCACCTGATAGCTCAACGAATATCATCACGTGGAAATTAATAGCAGAAGCCAAATACACTAAAAATGCACAGAGATCCCCCCCGTATAGCCGTTAACACTGTTGGGGCGAGCTCCGTTAGCGAGTAGCACCACCTATGAAGGTCGTTAGTGAGTAAAACACAGGGGAATCTACGCTTGGGGTGTCGAGAGCTTACAAATCTCTACCAGTTGGTGACTGGGTGAGTCGTGAGTCATTACAACCCTAACTTGGCGACGAGTTAAAATGGAAACTGATCCTTGGGGCTCCGGCCAAGCATCACCTGTGTTCACACCGACCCCTACGCACGCAGTGGCATTACAGGCTTGAGGCGGCCACGCCGACGACTCCCAGCAGAGTCGAGCCACCGGCAGGCGTCGTCGAAGCGAGCGTCACGGAAGGAAGCGGGGGAGAGAGGGAGGGGGCTGCCACCCCATGGTAGGCGCAGCCGCCCCCACGCGGCACAAAGGGAGGGGGGGGAACTCGGTGATGTCGTCGCTTCCTTTCAGCCAGGCACGGAGCCACGTCCTCGCGTCACTACCACGCGCGCGCGGGGCTCGCGAAGTGACATGTCAAGGCGTGTGTGTATTTTGTGAGTGTGTGAGCGTCTGAGCAAGTAAGAGAGCGGGTGGGTTGGTTGTTTTGTGACTGTGTGATGGTGTTTGTGTTGGCAATGTGGGGAGTGGTAGCGGGCGCCAAGCGTGGTGGCCAGCACCATGCTTGGCCGCCTTCGAATCTCTCATGGCGATATTTACACACCGCACCGGGCGGTCATTTGAGATCGAGTCGATCTAGGGTAGGATCCGGATTAGTTCAGATAATCGTCACTGGTTTTGGCCGAGAGTAGGAATTGAACTCGGGCTGCCGGGTTCGTAGCGTAGCACGTGAGCCACTGTGCCACTCGCACTGGAAAACAAGTGGAGGACGTTCAAACTCCACACAGAAAGAGGTGCCCAAGTCTGGAATCTTTCCGTGAGGTTCAAGTTTTGCCACCGAGCCACCCTGCCGTCCAAAATCCATCACCAAGACATCGATCCGCTCACTTGCTCACGGACACGAGCTTGCATACTCGTTAACACACACACCTTAAATCATTCACTCACCCCAGTCCTCACATACACACACACGACACGCGCTTACACTCGTTAACACACACACACCTTTAATCACTCACCCCAGTCCTCACGAACACACACACACGCGCTTACACTCGTTAACACACACACACCTTTAATCACTCACCCCAGTCCTCACGAACACACACACACGCGCTTACACTCGTTAACACACACACACCTTTAATCACTCACCCCAGTCCTCACGAACACACACACACGCGCTTACATACTCGTTAACACACACACACCTTTAATCACTCACCCCAGTCCTCACACACACACGCTTACATACTCGTTAACACACACACACCTTTAATTACTCACCCCAGTCCTCACACACACACACACGCTTACATACTCGTTAACACACACACACCTTTAATCACTCACTCACCCCAGTCCTCACACACACGCTCTTACATTTTCTGGCTCGCTCAACAACAACAACACTAAGTGGCGGTGACATCACCACGCAGCTTGTGCCAGGCTAGGTGCACTTTGAGGCCATCAAGTGAAGAGTCCAAGGCTCGCTGACAGAGGTCACGGGACAGACCCAGGTGCCGTGCGCTTTGACCGACTGAGATGGCGGGCAGATGCACCAGCTGTGCCTCCTACTGTGACAGCTCACTCGCTCACACACAACAACAACCGCCATTCGCCACTAGGTGGCGGTGACATCACCACGGCACTCGTGCCAGGCCAGGTACACTTTAAGTCCACGTGAAAGTGTCGGACGCACGCCGCCAAGAGGTCACGGGACAGACCCAGCAGGTGCCTGGCCGAAGCACCACCTGTGCCCCCTACTGTGCCAACCTGCTGGTGTTTTAGCCGCCCGGCTGAAACAGTCACTAACCATAACATCCGCCCACTCGCCCACAAAGACAAACACCCGCACGTACGCGCGCAACCTGTTCACAATAGCAGCACATCAACCCACGCACGCACGCGCCCTACGCAAACTGACCGCAATCACCCTCTACACCACCCCCCCGATCCCCCTCCCCGCTCAATGGCACACACACGCTCTCACCGATAACCGACCCGTTGACGATTCGTAATTGATTTTGGGGTCAGATCGCCACTTCGGTGAAGTGCGTATCGTACACCCCCTCTCCTCCGCCCGACAGGACAGGTGAACAAAGTCGGCACGCGATGAACAAACGTGGGGGCGCAGTGAATCAGTGGGGCAGCAGCAGCGGCAGCAGCAGCAGTAGCAGCAGCAGCGGTAGCAGCAGCTGTAGCAGGGGCAACGCTGTCGGTCTCGGTGCTGCTGGAGAGCGATCTGCAATGTGGTTAGCGCCGGGGGTGGGTGGCGGTGCGGGTGTCTCGCTGGCTGTTCTGAACCGGTCCTGGGCCCTCCCCTAGGTAGACTCAGCCTCAAATGAGTACCTAGGGAGATAAAGGTGGCCGGGAGTGGTGCCGGCGACTTGGGCCTTACCATCAGCCCCACCAAAACTAAGCACCTGCCTGGGTATTTTGTACCATCGGACACTCCACCCCCACAACTCTCAATCGGTGATGGGGCAGTTGTAGAGAGAGTGGAGAGTTTCCCATACCTGGGCAGTGTGCTTCTGACCGGCTTCAGTTTAACAGCAGAGATCTCACTCCGAATCAGTCGAGCGACAATATCTTTTCATCGGTTGCGTAATACTGTGTGGAAGCGACCTGGTCTGTCGCTCCGCACTAAGCTTCAGGTCTTCTCAGCCACAGTCATTCCCTCCCTTCTCTACGCTTGCGAAACGTGGACCCCCTTAATGGAACATCTTCGCCGGTTAGAAACATTTAGGCTAGCCTGCCTACGATCCATCCTGGATTTAACCAGGCTGGATTGTGTGAGGAGCTCACAAATCCTTGAAAGATCTGGGCAAGGTCCCATCGGTGAGCCCCTCTGGCAGACAAGGCTGCGTTGGCTGGGTCATGTAGCTCGCATGCCCAGCCACCGCATGCCGAAACAACTTTTGTTCGGCCGGATCGAGGGGGCTAAACGGGCGCGGCACGGGCTAGAGAAGAGATGGAGTGATGTGGTACAGGAGGACGTGGAGCTGAGTGGACTTGCCGATGACTGGTATCAGCGGTGTCAAGATCGGCCTCTGTGGAGGAGGCTCGTGAAGGACGCTACTGGGCAGTTGGAGGCAGTCGCCCTCCAACAACAACGGAGGGCGGAGGAGCGACGCTCACAACAACGAGCGGAGTGCCGGGTGGCTAAAGCACAGCAGGTTGGCACAGTAGGGGGCACAGGTGGTGCATCAGCCAGTCATCTCAGTCAGTCGACCCGTGGCACCTGAGTCTGCCCCGTGACCTCCTGCCAGCGGGCGTTCGACACTCCACGTGGCCTCAAGGTGCACATGGCCTGGCACAAGCGTCGTGGGGACGTCACCGCCACTTAGTGGCGAATGGCGGTTGTTGTTGTTGAGTATCAGTGAGTGAGTGTGTGAGTATCAGTGTATGAGTATCAGTGATTGAGTGTGTGTATCAGTGAGTTTGTGCGTAAAAATCAGTGAGTGAGTGGGCCCCCTCCCCACCTTGACGATGTGCAGCTTGGGCAGCAGGTTGCAGTCGGCCAGCGTGAAGTCGTCCCCGTCGAGGAACTTGCGCTGGGACTGCCCCAGGTCGTCGTCGTCGTCGTTCTGGTCCACCTCGTCGGGCAGCGGCGTGTTCATGAAGTCGTCCAGCTTCTTCAGCGACTTCAGCAGCGCCATCTCCAGCGCTGCGTCGCCGGCGGCGGCAAGAAGGCGGCGCGCCGACGTCACCCACGGCAACCACGACTGCGGCCGCGACCGGCGCACACGCTGTGGAGCTACGCCGCTGTGGTCTGTGCAGACCTGCGGAGTCTCTATGCGAATCTGTGGGTCTCTATTTGAGTCGCTGGTGACCGGGCTGAGGCCCTCAACTCGCTACACCTGAGACCTCAATTTAATGACAACGCAGTCCTCTGTGAGACTGTGAGTCTCTATGTGCATCTATGGGTCTCTATGCGAGACAATGGGTCTGTGTGATTCTAGATTTAAAGCTTTCGTGACTGCTAGGATCCATACTCTTTGGTTCTATTGGGTAAAGTCACATAGGTGAAAATAAAATAACAAAAAAATGTATTGTTATTTTATTTTCACCTACGTGACTTTACCCAATAGAACCAAAGAGTATGGGTCTGTGTGAGTTTACTGGTCGCTATGCAAATCGATGAGTCTCTATGCAAGGCTATAGGTCTCCCTCGTGTGTACTGGAGAACGTATGGACATCTGTGCCGGCCTTCATAGGCGCTCGCGAACAGCCCTGGCCCTGGCAGCCTGCGAAGGCTAAATGGGGGATGTCTGTATTTGTCGCTGGGGATGAGGGGTAATGTGATTATCATTACGCTTGTTCAGCCGGGAAAGCCTCAACGAGCCTCAGGGCTCTTTGCGGTGGACCATGCCGACGGCACACACAATTGCCAGCTACTCTTTCCGAATGACGTCACAGGATCTTTAACATCCACCGTGAGTGAAGCAGGCTGCGTGTAGTAGTAGTATGATTATGGGTAATACCATGCCATCTTAGTAGTAAACGGAGCGACCTCTGCATTCAAACCACCCGGCTACGTCACCACGCTATTATTATTTGGGGCGCCACGGTGGCGAGATGTTAACTACCTCGCCTGGTATACACGAGGTCGTGGGTTCGATCCCAACTCTGACGTCTGTTGTATATTTGGAGTTTGCATTTCTCTCTCCCTATGGTAGCGTGGATTTTTCTCCGGGTTCTCCGGCTTTTCCCTCCACAATTAGAATCAACGTCACGCGTTCAGAGTATTTTCAGCTGCCGACATTAATTTACACGCGATGATGATGAGCCCACTTCACTGGGCTATAATTTGTGATGGCCAGGTCGCTTCTGAAAAAGAGCCACACGGCTCAGTGGGGCTTTACCTGGTACAATATAAAGAGTTTAGTTTTATAGTTTGGTTTCGATTAACCGGGGCGGCCGCCGGACTCGTTCAACCACGGAACCCCTGCGATGAGCGGCGTGCGCGCCACCGCCACGTCACTGCGAGGGCTCTCGGAGCGCGCGCCCCGGCGAGGGACTCACCGTCGTTGCTGGCCGGGCTCGTGTTCTTCACGTAGGCCGAGAACTTGGAGAAGATGTCGTTGCCAGCTGTGTTCGACTCCGGGTTCTTAGCCGCGAGCTTGGGGAACCTGCGGAGGGGGACATCGTCCGTTCGTTAAATTATTTTTTGGGTTCTGGGCCACTCCGTGATGAACTTCCCGAGTCTGCGTGTGTCGAAGCAAAAAAAAATTGAATTGTCGCGCGGTGCACGAGTACCATAACGGTGTGCCGATTATCACTGTCGTTTCGGCTCAGCCCACCGGTGGTGCGGGCGAGGGACCCTCGCAGCCACACTGATCAGCAATGATTTAGCGGCAATGAGATTGCGCGACGTTTCAAGTGGTGCTCGCTAACAGCACTTGCCGCAACCGCCTGTGCGTGTGGGGCAGTGCGAGGAGCGGTATTGTGGCGGTTACCGCGCTGTGCTACGAAACCCGCAAACACCGGTGATGATTATCTGAACCGGTCATAGGCCTCCCCCCCCAGGTTGACTCATCCTCAAGTGAGTACCTGGTGCGGTGTGTAAACATCGGAAATAGGGAGATAAAGGCGGACGGGTGTGGTGCTGGCCACCCACCCCCTCGTGTGCCATGCCAGCCTTCATAGATGCTCACGAACAGCACTTGCCCCAACAGTCTGTTAAGGCAAGATTTAGAGACCTTTGTCTTTGGTGGATAGCGGTTACATCTCTCGTGGGTGGGGTTGGCGGGGGGGGGTTGGTTTTGAACTTCCTCCATCATTATCCAGTACAGAGCGAGTTCCCCGACCCTGGATGTTGTTGTAACCTTCTGACCCTGTGCACCTACTGGACATCCATGAAAATTAGCTTCTTCAGGATGAAAAGAAATTCTGATGATTCTGAGGTGCTACTCGCTGACAGCACTTGCCCCCAACGGTCTGTTGAGGCTACACGGGGCATCTCTGTCTTTTGCGCAGCAAGTGCCCCCCCGCGTGTGTACTTGGGCGGGCTGAGCGTGGCCTCCAGGAACTCCTCGATCTTGTTGGTGTCGGTCTTCACGTCCCCGTTGTAGGTGAGGAACGGAGGCTGAGTTCCAGGCGCCAGGTTCGCCAAGTTCGCCGGTTTCCTGGAAGCGCAAAGGACACAAAAGCGGGGCGACGCTCGCGTGAGAACGCGTGGACCGCGAGCGTGAAATCGAACAGGCCTTGAAGACACCAACCTCATCCGTGCGCTGGGGGGGCACCACGGGAGCCCCTCATCACGAGAATAAACAAACCGCCGTCGCACCTCAGATGACCACCCTCTCTCGCTACCTTCCGCTCTCCTCTTGAAATCCACTCGTTCTCTCTGGCCCACCTCCTCCCCTTCTCCCCTCGGAGTCCTCGCCACTCGCGCCAACGCCGCCTTCCTAACTCCCCGTGGTCACCCACCATCAATCCACTCATCTCATTTCCATCTTCGCTTATACCACGCATCGTCACCACCACCACCTCGTTTAACATATATCCCCATCCCCTCATCTCGTTTCATCTCGCCAACCATCTTGTACCACACTTAGTTCAGTGTAAAGCGCCTTGGTTAAGGCGCTTTATAAATATGCAAGGAGATAAGCACTACCTCGCCCGGTCTGCAGGATGTCGCTGGGTAGATCCAGACCTTGACGCCTGCTGGATATTTGGAGTTTGCGTGTCTCTCTCTCCTCGTGGTCGTGTGAATTTTTAACGGGGCCGTCCAATTTTAGAATCAAAATCACGCGCTTTTTTAAATATTTGGCTGCTATGAATTTCCACGTGATAAGCCGCTTCATTGAGCTGTCATTGGTGATGGCCAGGTAGGTTCTGAAAAAGTACTATTTTGCTCAATGGGGCTTTCCTGATAAAAAAAAAAATAGTTTAGTTTTAAATAGTTTAGTTTTCCTCTGCACATTTAGAAACATGCGTTTAGAGTATGTGGCTGCTGCTATACATTTTCACGTGATAAGCCACTTTTTTGTTGAGGCCAGGCTGCTTCTGAAAAAGAGCTACAGTATATAGCTCAGTAGTGGGCCTTACCTCGCAAAATAAAAATAGCTTATCGTTTTAAGTTGTCACCCCAGCGCCCGCACGGCCGGGTTGTCCACCCGTCTCACCTCTTGAGGTCCACCGTGGTCACGTTGAAGGTGACGCCCTTGAGCCAGAGGATCATGAAGAGGCGCTGGGAGAAGGGGCAATTCCCAATGCTCTCCCCGTCACTGCCGGCCTGCGGCAGACACGATAGACACGCGTTTGAAGCATGGGCACCCACTCGGGACCGTTAACGCGCGTCATAGTCAGGTCACGCGTCTCAAGAGTCCACCGCTCGGGGTGGATCGTGAGGTGAGCACTCAGATGCGGGTGTGTGTGTGTGTGTGCGTTCCCTCATTGTATTCGTGTGCCGTGCCAGCCGTCATAGGGCGTGGCGGAGGAGCCCGTACGCTGGCTCTGCCGGAAGGCAGTAGAGAGCCGAGTGTGGACCAATTGCTCATCTGTTCTGTCTGTACGGCATAGAGAGTTTCCCCCCTCGGAGCAACACGCAGTACAACCCGAGTGGTGAATGTTTGGTGAGTGAATGGTGTTAGGTGACTGCCGAGTGTCTGGTGTCAGGGCGAGTCGTGAGTGTCAGGCGAGTGGCATGTGTCAGTCGAGTGGTGTTAGGCGAGTGGTGAGTGTTAGGCGAGTGGTGAGTGTCATGTGAGTGGTGTCAAGTGTCAGGCTAGTGGCGAGTGTTAGGAGAGAGGCGAGTGTTATGTATCAGGCGAGTGGTGTTAGGCGAGTGGTGAGTGGTAGTCAAGTGGTGAGTGTCAGGCGAGTGGTGAGTGTCAGGCGTCAGGCTAGTGGTGAGTGTTAGGCGAGTGGTGAGTGTTAGGCGAGTGGTGAGTGTTAGGCGAGTGGTGAGTGTTAGGCGAGTGGTGAGTGTTAGGCGAGTGGTGAGTGTCAGGTGTCAGACGAGTGGTGAGTGTTAGGAGAGAGGCGAGTGTTATGTATCAGGCGAGTGGTGTCAGGCGAGTGGTGAGTGGTAGGCAAGTGGTGAGTGTCAGGCGAGCGGTGAGTGTCAGGTGTCAGGCTAGTGGTGAGTGTTAGGCGAGTGTCAGGTGAGTGGTGAGTGTTAGGTGAGTGGTGAGTGTCAGGTGTCAGGCAAGTGGTGAGTGTTAGGAGAAAGGCGAGTGTTATGTATCAGGCGAGTGGTGTCAGGCGAGTGGCGAGTGGTAGGCAAGTGGTGAGTGTCAGGCGAGCGGTGAGTGTCAGGTCTCAGGCGAGTGGTAGGCAAGTGGTGAGTGTCAGGCGAGCGGTCTCAGGCCAAATCGGGAAAGGGGGCGAAACAGCGGACGGAGTGAACATTGAGGAGGGGCCACATCCGATGTGGAAGGCTGCCCCTGTCTGCAGGAAGAGCTGCCCTCCCGGGTTATTTACAGTGAGGGAAAAAAGTAATTGATCCCCTGCTGATTTTGTACGTTTGCCCACTGACAAAGAAATGAACAGGCTATAATTTTAATGGTAGGGTTATTTGAACAGTGAGAGACAGAATAACAACAACAAAATCCAGAAAAACGCATGTCAAAAATGTTATAAATTGATTTGCATTTTAATGAAGGAAATAAGTATTTGACCCCCTCTCAATCAGAAAGATGTCTGCCTCCCAGGTGTCCTTTATACAGGTAACGAGCTGAGATTAGGAGCACACTCTTAAAGGGAGTGCTCCTAATCTCAGCTTGTTACCTGTATAAAAAACACCTGTCCACAGAAGCAATCAATCAATCAGATTCCAAACTCTCCACCATGGCCAAGACCAAAGAGCTCTCCAAGGATGTCAGGGACAAGATTGTAGACCTACACAAGGCTGGAATGGGCTACAAGACCATTGCCAAGCAGCTTGGTGAGAAGGTGACAACAGTTGGTGCGATTATTCGCAAATGTAGGAAACACAAAAGAACTGTCAATCTCCCTCGGCCTGGGGCTCCATGCAAGATCTCACCTCGTGGAGTTGCAATGATCATGAGAACGGTGAGGAATCAGCCCAGGACTACACGGGAGGATCTTGTCAATGATCTCAAGGCAGCTGGGACCATAGTCACCAAGAAAACAATTGGTAACACACTACGCCGTGAAGGACTGAAATCCTGCAGTGCCCGCAAGGTCCCCCTGTTCAAGAAAGCACATATACATGCCCGTCTAAAGTTTGTCAATGAACATCTGAATGATTCAGAGGACAGCTGGGTGAAAGTGGTGTGGTCAGATGAGACCAAAATGGAGCTCTTTGGCATCAACTCAACTCGCCGTGTTTGGAGGAGGAGGAGGAATGCTGCATATGACCCCAAGAACACCATCCCCACCGTCAAACATGGAGGTGGAAACATTGTGCTTTGGGGGTGTTTTTCTGCTAAGGGGACAGGACAACTTCACCGCATCAAAGGGATGATGGACGGGGCCATGTACTGTCAAATCTTGGGTGAGAACCTCCTTCCCTCAGCCAGGGCATTGAAAATGGGTCGTGGATGGGTATTCCAGCATGACAATGCCCCAAAACACACGGCCAAGGCAACAAAAGAGTGGCTCAAGAAGAAGCACATTAAGGTCCTGGAGTGGCCTAGCCAGTCTCCAGACCTTAATCCCATAGAAAATCTGTGGAGGGAGCTGAAGGTTCGAGTTGCCAAACGTCAGCCTCGAAACCTTAATGACTTGAAGAAGATCTGCAAAGAGGAGTGGGACAAAATCCCTCCTGAGCTGTGTGCAAACCTGGTGGCCAACTACAAGAAACGTCTGACCTCTGTGATTGCCAACAAGGGTTTTGCCACCAAGTACTAAGTCATGTTTTGCAGAGGGGTCAAATACTTATTTCCCTCATTAAAATGCAAATCAATTCATTTTTGACATGCGTTTTTCAGGATTTTTTTGTTATTCTGTCTCTCACTGTTCAAATAAACCTACCAATAAAATTATAGACTGATCATTTCTTTGTCAGTGGGCAAACATACAAAATCAGCAGGGGATCAAATACTTTTTTCCCTCACTGTAACGCAAGGGAGCGATGGAACAAAAACCCGGTTGCCTTACTTGTCAGTGAATAAGCCAAAGCGTGGGCTATTTAAAAAAATATTTGTATAGAGAGAGCGAAACTGCCCTGTGGCTTCAAAACCGGTCGCAGAGCCGCAGGACGAGAGACAGCACAATCCGGTCGAGTGGCCTGCTCGCATCCAGACCCCCAACACAACAGGGAGGGCACGATAGCGATCTGCACTACAGGGATTCCAAATATCCTTACCTCCCCCCTATAGCGTTAAGACCGGCACGGCGCACGAGCGGGTTGGATGGCCACCACCACGCCGGACACACTTTGTCTCCCGAGTGGCAACTTTTTACACGCCGCAGCAGGTACTCATTTGAGGCCGAGTACACCTAGGGGAGGCCCAAGACCGGTTCACCGAATCAAAATTGGAACCTTTATTTAAATTGGTGTTGGCCGCGAGCAGTAATGGACACTCGGGTCGCCGGATTGGCAGCGCAGCGCGGTAACCGCCGCCCGACCGCTCCCCACTTCCTACCTCCGCGCACACAAAAGACAAAAATATCCTCCGTAGAGCCTTCATGGACTGTTGCGGGCAAGCGCTGTGAGTAGCGGCACCTCGGAAGGCCGGCACCATGGCACACGATGGAGGTGGGTGGCCAGCACCTCCGTGCGCACACAAAAGGCACGCAAACAACGCCACTCAACACACGCCCCGACCTCGCCTTCAGGGATACAATCGATACCATTCGGAGTAAAGCTACCGGTGAGAATAAGCCCTCCGGAGAATCGGCTAAAGTGTCTTGGGGGGGGGGGGGGTCAACTCTACCGACGGGTCGCGCCGCCGTGTGTGGTTGGGCACGATGCCCGATGTTTCGTGCCACGTGCCGAAGGAGGCACGAACAGAACGCAAGTCGGTAGAGCTACGTAGCGGCAGCGCAACCGCGAACGCCCGCGCCAGCAAAAGTTCATTGGGTGAGGGGATGGCGATGGCTCGCGGAGGCCTTCATCCAGCAGTGGAGTGATCGGTCTGGAAGTCATCTACCCAGGGCCAATTTGTACGCGTGTGTGTTGAACTTCTTTCGCACCGTACGTAGCCCATCGTGCTAACCGGAGGTGCACTGCAGGGAATTTAATATTTAGCTTCGATTTAAAATTGCGTTCTGTTTGTGCAATCACAATGACGTGATGTAGTTGATGATGATTTTGTTTCCGATTTGTATTCGCATCATTGATGTTACTTTATTTACTTTATTTTGCGCTCGTCATTCCGGTGACCAGGTCACATCTTGCGCAGAGAGAGACGATCCCGATGACAAAGAAGAATAATAAAATGTTTTACCCTCTCTGGCAAGAATACGGGAGGGCGTGTTTCTATGTCCAAACACCAAATAGACATAATTTACAAAGCATCAAATCTGCCTTAACCACACATACTTGTGGTAAAACATCCAAACAAACATGGCTTAGATACCATTACATGCATTGTCCTTGAAACTGATTTGCAAAAACCAGAGACAGCGGCCTCCCCTTTATGGCTTCGGTCTCTGCACAGGGCGGAGCCGAACCAGTACAAAGGTAATACTGCAAACATCAAAGAGTTAAGAGCTCGAGTTGAGCAGCTGTATCTACGGGGCGCCTTTTTGCCGGTATCAAGATTATGAATAGAAGGCCTTCACCCTTGTTGCATGTTTTACCACAAGCATGCTTGGGGTTAATGCGGACTTGGTGATGCCTTGCAATAGCTGCCGATTTAGTGTTTGAACATCTTCGCCCGCGCTGTGTTATTTACCAGACAGGTTACAGCCTATTATTATGTTGACAACCCAGCCAATGTTGGATGGGTTTCACTGTCCAATTGATTAGCAAATGGGCAGTGACCATTATACAGGAGAACCCCTTTTAACGACCACCCCTGTTCACGATTAATCGCTAAACGACGGGCCTCCATAGAGCCCAATGTGTAGTGCATAGTGTAGAGTATAGTAGTGTAGAGTATAGTAGTATATTTTATTGTAGTGTAGAGTAGCACCCCTCGTAACGACCAGCCCTGTTAACAATTAATCGCTAAACAACGGGCCTCCTTAGAGCCCAATGTGTTCACTTAGCGACTCTGTTAATCACGGGCTGTTGTGTGTACAGTAAATATTAAATAATGCATTGATTAAGTGCGCTTATTTTAATATTAAAGCGTTTATAATGTTGCTAGCATCTTTATG